TGCTTCAACAACTCATGATCAGTATGTATCACGAACTCCTTAGGCCAAAGATAATGCTGCCATGTCTCCAAAGCTCTTACCAATGCATACATCTCCTTGTCATAAGTAGGATAGTTAAGTGCTGCACCAGTCAATTTTTCACTGAAAAATGCAATAGGTCGCCGCTGTTGCACCTAAACAGCACCAATGCCAATACTTGATGCATCACATTCAATTTTAAAAGTTTTAGTAAAATCAAGTAAAGCAAGTAATGGTGCAGAAATTAAATTCTCCTTAATTAAATTGAAAGCATTCTCCTATTCACTTTCCCACTTAAATCCGACACTTTTTTTCACGATTTCAGTCAATGGAGTTGCAATTGTGCTGAAGTGCTTGATGAATCTCCAGTAAAAACTTGCCAAACCATGAAAACTTCGCACCTCAGAAATATTCTTAGGTGTTGGCCATTCTTTAATAGCCTTAATCTTTTCTTCCTCTACTGCAATTCCATCAACTGAAACAACATACCCTAAAAAAACAATCTGATTTGTGCAAAAGGAACACTTTTTAAGGTTAGCAAACAACTTTTCTTTTCTCAACACCTCTAGTACCATTCGCACATGCTCAATATGTTCAATTAAACTCTTGCTATATATCAGAATGTCATCAAAATAAACAACCACAAATTTGCCAATGAAAGCACGCAAAACATGATTCATTAATCGCATGAATGTACTAGGCACATTAGCTAATCCAAATGGCATAACTAATCACTCATATAAACCATGTTTCGTTTTAAAGGCTGTTTTCCATTCATCTCCTTCCTTCATCCTAATCTGATGATATCCACAATCAATTTTAGAGAATATGCAAGAACCATGCAACTCATCTAACATGTCATCTAATCTAGGAATAGGGTAACGATACTTTACAGTGATTTTGTTGACCGCGCGACAATCAACGCACATACGCCACGTCCTATCCTTCTTAGACACAAGTAGCACTGGAACTGCACATGGACTCATGCTTTCTCTCACATGTCCTGTTTTCATGAGTTCTTCGACCTGCCTTTGAAGTTCTTTCGTCTCATTGGGATTGCTTCGATATGCTGGTCGATTTGGAATTGTTGCACCAGGAATGAAGTCAATTTGATGCTCGATTCCTCTTATTGGTTGTAAACCATTAGGAACATCATCTGGAAACACATCCTTGAAGTCTTGCAAAAGAGATTTAACAGCACTAGGCAAAGAATCATTAAGTTCGTTAGTGTTGAAATAAGCATCTTTATACAGAAGCACAAACACAGGCTGCTTTGCAAAGAATGCAGCCTTGACATCACTTTCTTTTGCATAAACACTCACTGATTTTCTCTCTTTGTTTTCAACACTCTCGATCTTTTCTCTCTTCTTTAACTCTTTCTCTGCTGTTTTCTCTCTGTTTTTCATACCCTGCTCACTCTCTTTTCTCAGCTTACTCTCTTTTTTCAATCTCAGTTGATCCTCATAAACCTGCCGTGGAGTCAATAGCACAAGAGTAATTGTTTTCCCTTCCAGGATGAAAAAATAGCAATTTTTGAAGCCAACATGTGTTACTCTCCTATCATATTGCCATGGTCTCCCCAAAAGTAAATGTCTAACATGCATGGGAACCACGTCGCACAGTACCTCATCCTTATATCGTCCGATAGAGAATGAAACCAAAACTTGCTTATTTACCTTAATTTCTCCACAATCATTTAACCATTGCAGCTTATATGGCCTTGGATGCTTCATCATAGGTAAATTAAGCTTTTCAACCAAAACAATGCTAGCTAGTACAACTGCCACCATCAATAATAACACTACATACCTTATTTTTGATATGGCACATCGTGTGAAATATGTTGTCGCGTTGTACTTCATCATCTTCTTTGGCTTGCACATTCAAAGCTCACTTGGTGACGAGCAGTTCTCCATTAACGGCATATTCCACACCATCATTAGCATCTTCTAATGGTGGCATAGATTCATCATCAGATTCACCCTCGGTTTCAATTTCTCCATCTTCTCTTAAGATCATCGTGTGCTTATTAGAAACATTGCAATGCAACATGCCCCCTTCCCAAGCATTGAAAACACTTTATGTCTCGGGTTCTGCCTTGTGTATTATCTGTTTTACTCTCCTCATTGCTGCCAACTTCTTTTGACTTAGATGCTGCAGTTTTAGGCTTAAAAGCAGAATTTTCTTCCTTTTTGCTCCAATTCAATTTCCAAGAAGATGAGGAACCTGAATTTTGCCCAGTTCTGCTGGTGGCTCCTTTACACTTGAGTTGCCATTCTACTTTCATCGCCGTATGCACCATATCTTCTAATGCCACATAATGTTGCAACTCTACCACATTAGCTATATCACGATTTAAGCCATGCAGAAACCGTGCCATAGTTGCTTCTCTGTCCTCTTCCACATTCGCTCTAACCATTGCGATTTCCATCTCCTTGTGATAATCCTCAACGCTTTTAGACCCTTGAGTAAGGCCCTGTAATTGTTGATAGAGATCGCGGTAGTAGTGACTAGGAACAAACCGTTTTCTTATCACAGCCTTCATCTCTTCCACAAGTGTTAACAGGATGCTCTCGATTTCTACGTCTACTAAGCACAAGCTGATCGCACCACACCACAACGTAATCAGTAAATTCCATCGCTACTAGTTTCACATTTTTCTCCTCAGAATAGTTATGGCAATCAAACACCAATTCCACCTTCTTTTCCCACTCCAAATACACATCTGGATCATTTTTGCGTCGAAATGGAGGAATCTTCATCTTGATGCTGCCTAAGTTATGATCTTGCCGATCTCCCCACCTTGCCAGATTTTGGTCTCCTTTGTTAAATCTATATCTTTGACCCCCTCTACCTCTCATAAATCTGTCCATGCTGAAATTTGAGTTTTGGGCATCATCATTGAATGCATCTTCATCATTGTCATCAAGATTGTGATTATGCAAATTTGGACTTCCATTTTCTATTTGGTATAATTTGGCAACGGCTGCATCTTGCTTCTCCATTTTGTCTTTAATTTCACCAAACATGATGATGTCTAGCCTCTGAAATTGTTGTTGCATAGCTTTGACCATTAAGGAATCATCCTCTTGGTGTTTTCTGTCATCACCGCTTGACATGATTGAAACCTGCAAGGAATGTTAGAAACAGAAAATAAAAGGACCTCACAACACTCCCTTACGTGTTTCACTCCACTCTCTCACAGAATGGCACTTAACACGTGTTTCGCACACTATAGAACTTGGCTTTTCTCTCAAATGTTGCTCACACCTCTTGCCTTTTTCCTTCACTCAACTTTCCTCTTTTAGTTCGTTATTGAACTAAACAAGCTCAATTTAAGTTATTTTGCAGCAATCTAATTGATGGGAATCAAGATGACAGCATATCTACTATGTCATGTGATCCATTACACACCCAAGGAGGTCCAGTCACGAGAGCTAGAGCTAAGAAGATGCATGAAGCTTTAAATGGCCTTATTGAGCAGATATGGGTTGAAAACAACATACAACAAGCAAATCGAAGCTTGGATGATTATCAAGGCATGGTAAACATCATTCAGGTTCAAGAGAAGCTTAGTTGAGGTCATTTGCACGGAATTACACAGTTTGTGTCAAAATCGCACAATTCTGCTGCAATTTGTAGCGAACTGATATTTTATGTTATTTTAGGTTATTTTTAGTGATTTTCACGTTTTTTGTATCATTTTTGGGCAGAACATTCGCTTATTTGAAGCCCAATTCGTGGTTATTAGGTTTAGGACTTGGGGTGTTGGTTTCCTATTTTGATTAGGATTTGTTCTCTCTATTTAAAAGGCTTGTAACCCTAATGGGGAGGGAGGTGATTGAATCTGAGTTTTTGAGAGACTTTTCTCTTTGGTTCGTTTCAGAACTTTAAAGAACTTATCAAGATTATTCTTGTGGCATTCTAACCTGACTTATCATTCTCGTTCTTAATCATTCGAGGGTGTGGCATCAACCAACTTTATACCTCTGGTTCTTGTTGTGTCATAGACAACGGGTCAAGGTTTTTACCTTTGGTTCTTGTTGCGACATAAACAACGGGTCAAGGTCCTATTATAAACCTGATTTGGCTTTCCTGGAGTTTAGAAATCCCTTGTCGTGCTGTGGCCTGTGGGTCTCATTGTTCTCTTTGGGGTTCTCATCACTAATTCCAACAAATCTGCAACAAGAGTTGAAGGAAACAAAAAGACACAAAGGAACCAACAAGAAAAGCAATAAAAGAAACAAACTGAAACGAAGTAAAAGAAAAAAGAAAGAAGAAGAAAAGGAAATTCGATTGAAACACAATGCAGGAAAGACAAATCAATTCTAACATGATGAGAACCCCAAAGAGAACAATGAGACCCACAACACGACAAGAGATTTCTAAACTCCAAGAAAGCCAAATCAGGTTTATAATAGGACCTTGACCCGTTGTTTATGTCACAACAAGAACCAAAGGTAAAAACCTTGACCCGTTGTCTATGACACAACAAGAACCAGAGGTATAAAGTTGGTTGACGCTACACCCTCGAACGATTAAGAACGAGAATGATAAGTCAGGTTAGAACGCCACAAGAATAATCTTGATAAGTTCTGTAAAGTTCTGAAACGAACCAAAGAGAAAAGTCTCTCAAAATCTCAGATTCAATTGCCTCCCTCCCCATTAGGGTTACAAGCCTTTTAAATAGAGAAAACAAATCCTAATCAGAATAGGAAACTAACACCCTAAGTCCTAAACCTAATAACCACGAATTGGGCTTCAAATAAGCAAATGTTCAGCCCAAAAATAATACAAAAAACGTGAAAATCACTAAAATAACCTAAAATAACATGAAATATCAGTTTGCTAAAAATTGCGGCAGAATTGTGCGATTTTGACCAAACTGTTTAGTTCTGTGCAAATGACCTTAACTAAACTTCTCTTGAACCTGAATGATGTTTACCATGCCTTGATAATCATCCAAGATTTGATTTGCTTGTTGTATGTTGTTTTCAACCCAGATCTGCTCAATAAGGCCATTTAAAGTTTCACGCATCTTCTTAGCTCTAGCTTGCGTGACTGGACCTCCTTGGGTGTGTAATGGATCACATGACGTAGTAGATATGCTATCTGATGGGAATCAAGATGACCCCATATGTATCACGTCAAGAGATCCATTACATATTCCAAGAGGTCCAGTCACGAGAGCTAGAGCTAAGAAGATACGAGAAGCTTTAAATGGCCTTATTGAGCAGATCGGGGTTGATAACAACATGCACAAGTAAATCAAAGCTTGGATGATTGTCAAGGCATGATAAACATTATTCAGGTTGAAGAGAAGCTTAATTGAGGTCATTTGTGCTAAATTACACAGTTTGCGTCAATCTCGCAATTCTGTCGCAATTTGTAACAAACTGATATTTCATGTTACTGTAGGTTACTTTTAGTGATTTTTCATGTCTTTTTATATTATTTTGAGCTGAACATTCATTTATTTAAGGCCCAATTCGTGGTTATTAGGTTTAGGACTTAGGGTGTTAGTTTCCTATTCTGATTAGGATTTGTTTTCTCTATTTAAAAGGCTTGTAACCCTAATGGGGAGGAGGCAATTGAATTTGAGTTTTTGAGAGACTTTTCTCTTTCGTTCGTTTCAGAACTTTACAGAACTTATCAAGATTATTCTTGTTCTCGTTCTTAATCATTCGAGAGTGTGGTGTCAACCAACCTTATACCTCTGGTTCTTGTTGCGTCATAGACAACGGGTCAAGGTTTTTACCTTTGGTTCTTGTTGCGACATAAACAACGGGTCAAGGTTCTATTATAAACCTGATTTAACTTTCCTGGAGTTTAGAAATCCCTTGTTGTGCTGTGGGTCTCATTGTTCTCTTTGGGGTTCTCATCATCTTGGTATCAGAGCATCAGATCCGTAAATCAGGTTTGTGTATCTTTAGTTTTCAGTTTTTACATAAAAAAAAAAAAATTAGGGTTCTTTTCTTTCTTGTCTGCAACTCTTTTCATCTTGTTCTGTTGAATCTGTGTTGCTGGTTCTGAAGAGAAAAAAAAAATCCGAGAGAGAAAAGCACCAAAAAAAAAAATCAGAGGAGAGAAGTCGTAGAAAAAAAAAAAAAAAAAGGAGAAAAAAAAGGGAGAGAGAAACAAGCAACACAATTCTGTCGTTGGAATTCTTTATATAGAGAAGAAATTGATGGTCAAATCCTTAAAGAAGAAGGAATCCTACTCCAGTAAAAAGTTGGAAGAAGGAATTATACTACAATAACGAGTTGGAAATTTTCTTTGATTTCTGTTGAAACAAGGAAATAGCAATTTTGTTTATTCCTTCCTAAGTTAGGAATCCTACTACATTAAAGAATAGAAATCCCACTACAATAAGGAGTTGGAAAATTTTCTTTGAATTCTATTCAAACAAGGAGATAGCAATTTTGTTTATTCCTTCCTAGGTTAGGAATCCTGCTACATTAAGGAATAGTCAAGTCAATTCCTACTAGGAAGTGCTTGAACTGATCTGTTCATTTTAATTTGTTTGGGTTGGTTCTTTTATT